CAATTGTTGTTTTGTGATGTTTGTGATTAAATTTTGAGTTATTTTATATTTTGAATGTTGCGGCGGTGAATTTTATCTTGGTTGATTTCAATTTTGGGTTTGGTTTTGCCGCTATCCTAGCTCGTTTAATTTTCATGCAGGGTGCATTGTTGTTTAACATGCAGGTTTGTATTTTTTTTCATACATGCAGGTGAGTAAGTACAGTAACGTACTAAAAAGTAAAGTATAGTGAACTAGAAATGTAGTTAAAATAAATAACAATTAAACCATCCCGGGATGTTCTTACCGCCATCTTCAACTGAAACACAAAATGCATGTGAGGGCTGTCGGCACTATTTTTGGTGTGGAGTTTGCCCATAAGAAGCTATCGGTCATCAGAATCGAAATCTCATCGCCCGCTTCAGAAGGACATTTTAATTTACATATATATATAGTTTTAGAAAAATATGAAATCAAACTGACCCCATATTTTTCATAGTTTAAATGAAAGAGCATCGTACCCCAAATCATGTATCTATCCCGAAGGATAAACACAAGACTTGAGGATGAGGCTCGATCAAATAAACTAAGGAATATATGACATCCGTTTGGTCTGGAAACCTTTGTATTTGCCGACAAGTTCTCCTATTTAATATAAAGAATAAAATAGTGTTTATATTAAGTTAGGTTCGAGAAAAGCTTCCTAAAAGGGAAAGCCCCTATAGTTAATTTCGTCTTAAATGACCAAAGTCACTTAAAAAGACTCGCTAAAAATCAAGAAATATTATCTTCAAGGAATTTTAAAGGGTAGGACTTTTTAATGAGATCAGACGTAGAGGTGTGAAAGGGGATTGGTTTAAATCTGGAAACATTTTGTTGTAGAGCCTAAAGGAGGAAGAGCTAGGGGATGTCATGGATCCAGAGGAGGACCCCGGTGACTTCTCAAGCTATCCTAATGTTTGGCTACATTTCTGATGAGAAATATTTAGGTGTTTCATCCTGTCAATTTTATTAGTTATGGCTTATATTCGTGTGAAATGATCACACAAATAGCCTGGAAGATGTGAGGATTTAGGTTGTGACGGACGACAACCGCAGAATCTTAGGACCGAGTTAGGGCTTATATTATTAGGGCTTATATTATATAGCAAGGTTATACGAAGGCCTAAATATAAGATGAGGATTTACGTTGCATAAGCAAGCAACATCAAAGTATTAGGACTTTGTTGTTTAAGTCTAAGGAAGGAAGATTGG